TGTTCCATTTGTCATTTCATGCTGTGGAATTTCATGGGGTATTATTTTCAGGTACTTTGTTCGGGATTGGTTTCATCGCTTCTCAAAGGGCAGTTTATAACATGGCCTTGGGATATCACACAAAAGGAGAATAGGCTTAAATTGTTTGAGTGGATCGATGTGTTGAACGTCCGCGACATAAGACAAACGCTGGAAAAGTTCAATTTGGCCTTTGCTTTAAGCTTGTCATGATATTATAGCCCTGAATGTTGAGAAAATTTAAAACGATATCATAAGTTCTAGCTGAAATGGACTCTGGTTGGATTTAAACGGATAAATTAGTTATAAAGTGAAATATTTTATTCAGATTTTCTGATGAACGATTCCCCTTACTAGTGGTTATTATCAAGGAAAAAAGTGTCATCTTACCAATAAGTGTCGCTTGGGGTAAGTCACATGCTTTAAATGTTATAGTTTATAAATGTCTTTCAGTCATTCATATCCTTGAAATTTCAATAATTTGGAGTATATTTTTTTTTTGCTTGGTAGGGTGCGATGGACCGGAACAAGTAGTGAACAAACTGATGGAAGGATTGGAGGAGTATCAACGTATCAAAACTGCTGAAGCTGCTGAAGAAAGAGAACGCTTTGAAAGGTCAAGCACTCTTCTTCTCATGTATATATACATGTAATTTTTCCTATGCAATTGAAACAAGACGATGGAATAAAGACCGTTAAAATAACCACTAATTAATGTTCTATAAAGGGATCTGATTTTTGTTTTAAGGGAAAAAATACGAGAGGAGCAAGCAAGAGAATATGAACAGTCGCTAGCACAGGATAGAGCTCGTCAGGAAAGACTTGAACGTGAGAAAAATGAGCGGAAGTAAGTTGTTTCATTTGTTCTCGTTAAAGACATTGAAATAAATTTAATGTCACTGTTTTTTAAATGTTGTTCCTGTCAATAATGGTGCATTGAAATGAAGATAAATTGTAGGGCTGAAGAAGAGCGTCGAGCAAAAGAAGAACAAGACAAGACAAAGCGTTTGGAAGAATTAGCAGCAAGTTTGCCAATGGAACCGGCAGCAGATGAAGCAAATATTGCAGTTGTGCGAGTTCGTTTCCCGGATGGAAAAATGCAGTTGCGAAGGCAAAAATTTCTGAAAATAAACTTTACTGTACTGAGAACATTCATTGTATAAACCACACATTTTATGTCTGAAAAGATTAAAGGCTTCTAAGATGGAGAGTGGGATGCAGTAAGAACATGTCCTATAGTCTTATCATGTCCAGTTGATTGGTCATATGTAACAATACCCTAACTTTTTAACGCAATTAGTACCTTTAACGAATGTTATTTCAGATTTCGCATGAGCGAACCGCTTCGTAATGTAACGATCTTTGTTGAATCAAAAGGATATAGTTTAGATACACATCGAATTTGGACCTCAGATGTGCCAATGAAAAATGTGGTATATTGTTAGAAAAATCTTCTCTTTTTATACTTTTTGGTTGAAGTTAAAAGTTTGATGAAATAGAATGCTGGTGCAATATTTCAATATTCTGAAGCCTTTACAATTCATGTTTAATCCGTTTTTACGTGACGTACTACTTTCTTGTAAACTTATTTTCTTTGACTTCAAGTCATGATGATGTTTCCATAAATTTGTTTTCATGGAATGAATCTATCATTTGCAGGTAGAATCATATGATCTCAACCGTTCATTAGCTGACATTAAATGGCCGGTTCGTGAGCAGATCACTGTGGACGAGAAATGAATATAGTGAAGTGACAGCATTCGGTAATGTTAGAATTAGGTCTCCATTTCTCAGAGTTTAATGAAATTTCTTATTTAGGATGTTCACCTGCCTCCTATTGCATTAGCAATGGTGTAGTTACAGCAATACAATTAAAATCAGTAACAGTAGTAATACAGCATTCAGTATGTGTAAAATTTGCTAGAAATTTTTATACACATGTTTCTTTCATTTAATGTGGTTTGAAATTCAATAGTTTTAGGTTTATTTCTAAAGCTCTGTTTAATATGATGCCTTTGAAAAGCATGCAAAAGCATGCTTTTTTAATTCTTGTAACGAAATTTATTTAATTAGTAGACTTTAGCAGCTTTCGTATCAGTTTTTTCAAGGACTAAGTAAGTGTTGCCTCTTTTTGCAGACCACTTGAAAAAGTTTTTTGTTTTTTTTTTATAAGCAGATTGTTTTCCCGTAAACCATTTATGTTCAGAAAAGCAATATAGTATTTGTAGTTTTTACCGTCATCGGTGGTTTCTATATGACCAATTAATGGAAAATAAATAATGTTGTAAATAAAAAAAAAAAAATAGTAAAGCTTCAGGTGCTATCCGGGAAAGAATTCTTAATGTCGAGATAACCAGTAGATTACAAATCACTAGAAAGTGAACTTATCATGTCACAAATTGAATTACCCATTCCTACTTATCACTTCATATAAGCTCTTTTGCATCATCACTGTATTTGAAATGGGAGCATTCCTTCAGGTGCTATCCAGAAATGAATCTTTAGTTTTGATCCTCTGCATGTTAAGAAAAAATTCCTAATTATCATCCCACACGGAACTAGAAGTGGTTTCTCATTTCATATTCTGATTATCTGATTACTTGATTCAGTTATGTACTTGCCTAATTCTTAAAAGGTCTCGGTGCGTCAAGCAGTAATAAAAGATAACGTTTATTGGTCGGTATTGTCTTATTTTACTGATTTTTAATCCTCTGTTATTGTTTTCACGGTCCTTTTTTCATCCTTTATCAATGTTTTTGTTTTCGTATTTTAATTTTTTAGCTATCTATTTGCCCACAGTTTGAGTATGTTGACGAATGTACTGTTTATAAATGATTCATTCATTCGTGGTCATCATTGCTTATATTGTTTAAAAGTAAAGTGTATGTCTTTCAATGGTTGCGAATAAGCTCTCTTTATAAGGACATACTTATATTTGTATACTAGCCTTTTCATCCCGTCTGATTTCAAAGTTGTGGTCTTTCTCTGACCTGAACGATAATTTTATGGATGAACTAATTTCACTAACTAAATAAACATAAATTGATGTAAATAAATGCTTTCCGTCCTATATTTCAAATGCATAAAAATAACGAAATATTAATCAAAAATTGCCGATAATACAATTTCTCGATAATTCTTTATGATTGCTATCAAATAATCACTAAAAAAATTTCAGTGCAATATTTTCTGCTTTTATGTACTTTCTGGACATAATAAATATGATGAATAAATGATTGTAATTTAATTCCTATCAGAAATATGCAAATTTATCAGCTAGTAAAAAAGATTCGCATACATCATAACATATCATTTTTGCTTAAAAATCATTTAAAAATACACTTCGATGAATTTATTTTTTATTTCACGCTGTATTGGTTTACTCTTAATGCTTATTGCATCGATACTATTTTGCTATATTCCATATCGTCGTTTAGCCGTTATTAAAAAGAAACTTGAAGATATAAGTGATACACATATTTATTATATGGATCTATTAAAATATTTGTTTAATTTAACAAATTGTAAGCAAATATCATGGAGCACATGGAATCAATGTACAACGGAGCAGCTAAATAGAAGACGTCAACGCGAGCTACCATTTGCGAATTGTCAACTAGTATATGAAAATATGTCATGTGATTGTCATCTTGAATTAATTGAAGATATTCAACAGATCGATGAGAATTCCTATATTCATTATGGATGTATTCCAGATTTTAATCAACAATTAATTATATTACCAGTTAATGCAACAATTGTTAATGTTACTACTATCAGTAATTTATCAGGAATAATTCTTAAACCATGTATTACTCATACAACAAACCAAAACATCATTAAAGCACAATAATAGTATTATTATTAATGCTATTATTATTGTCATTACTATTATTATTATTATTGCTATTGTTATTATTAGTAGTATTATTAATGATTATTATTATTACCACCGTTTTTTAATTTATTATTCGCTAAAAATAAGCAATCCTTCTGATAAATTAATAATATTACTGTAAACCGTCCCTACTTGTTTCCTTTTTATAATCAATTTGTATTGCGTATTTTAATGTGTTATTTCCGATAAAGTTTTACATAAATTGATGACTTTTTACATATATGACTACTTAAAAATTCTCAAAAAATTATTGCTTAAAAAATATTTATTATATTAGAATTGTAATAATCAATTATTCTTGTAATATTTGTCATATATACGTGTGCATAAAAGAAAAAAAAGAAACGTAAACAATGTGTAATGTGTGCCGTGTAAAACACAATTTTTTTTTTTTTTTTACATTAAAAACAACCATTCCATTATTTTCGTTTGAAAATTTCTTTTTTTATTTTATTTTAAATTATGCAAATTTTCAAAGTTTAAAAATATATTATATATTTAACAAAATATCATTTTGTACTTTTATTACGCTGCATTCATTTTGATCGATTATAGCATTGATGTATAATTTACGTCATAAAAAGGCACCAATAAGTGATACGTGTGAAATTAGAGTAAAAATTCCATCAATTTTATGTCAAATTTTTGCAAATTTAACAAATCACATAATGCATGATGGAATAATTTGTAAGCTTAATCAACGAGCAACAGAATATCAACAATGGATTTTTGATGAACAAAAAAAAGCAGAAGAAATTTTAAGAGAAAGGTAAAATTGAAAAGATTTTTTTTTTCAAAAATCCCATTGTTTTTTTTTAAATATATGTTTCTTTCCTCTTTGCTTTAAATGTATGTGTTTATCATATTAGATATCAAGAATGATCAAGAATAACAAAAAATGTAGTGCCTTGCATAACTTTGACACACAGTATTGTACAAATCATATTTGATTAATTATATTAATTAACTAATTATTCAATTATGTATACTCATAATTGTTACAAAAAATGCTAACAACTTATGAGATGTGATTAATATCATCAATTTCACTGTAAGAAATCATCTTGGCTAAGTTGTAGTGATTATGTTGTGCCAAGAATACGAACACGAATTAATCCTTGGCCAAATGATTTTCGTATTCTTCTCAAAATGGCGAATGAAAATGAGAAAAATGATAAAAATGAAAGATGTGACACAATTAATAAATTAACCGAATTAGAGTATAAATTTATAATGTTGTTTAAAATTTAAAGATTTATTAGAACAATTTTATTCATATTTCAGATGCAAATCTTTATTGTCTTTTGAAAAAAAGATTCTTAAAGTTAGATATGAGTTAGTTATTTTTTTTTCATAACAAATTTGAAATTTAAATTATATTTTCATTTGAAAATGAAAAATTAATTATTTACAGGATACATTTTCCATCTAATTTATTATCAAAATATTTAAGGATGAATTCATTATTATCCAAAATTAATCATACTAATAATGCTTCTCATCTATCAGCTGCAGTACTATTTTTAACTATTATTAATTTATGTTATTTTTTTTTTTGCTAATTAATTAGTGATACAAAATTCAGATCAATTGTCAATACTATAATTTTTAATATTTATCATTAATTAATTATATCTTAGTTAATTATACATCTGATTATTTAATACTCATTTCGTTTAATTTTAATCCGTTTGTTATACTAATTTTAATTATGCTTCGACATCTAAAGTATGTATTTCCTCTATAGATTGCAATAGGTGTTCGTGATTTTTGCGCCAAACGAACGGCTAATGCAGTTTGTAGAAAAAGGCAAATACTGGAAGCAGTTGCTGAAAAAACACGAAAGTAATTATAAATTTCACAAAAATGAATAAAAAAAATAAGAATTTATTTCTAATTATTTAATTTCTTTTTTTATAATTATTTAAATATGTAAAAAAAAGGAAAAGATGAAAAGAATGTTGTAAATAAATTAGATTACGAGAAGATAGTCATCGTCGAGTGAAGCAACGTAAAATACAACTTGAAAAAGAAGGCGAAGAAAAACGAAAAGAATCATCAATTAAAATTAAACAACAGGTAATAATTAATTTTGTGAAGAAATTTGCTAAACCTTTACTTAATATTTATTAGATACGATTATATGAATGAAAATTTCTTTTGTAATTTATTGTAATTTATTAGAAATGATTACATCGATAAGAATTTTTTGGGTAAATTATCACATTTATTTTGCATTAAATTATTTTAGATTGTTTTTTCAAAAACTTTTCCTATGCGTTATTTTATTTTCACTAAATAAAATGTTAATTATCTCACAAACTAATTTTTCAGCATATTTGAACTTTCAGATTTTTTCAGAGAGTCACATAATATTAGGTTCATATTATCTAATAATTTCGCGTTTATATCACATAATTTTAGGTTCATATTATCTAATAATTTTGCGTTTATATCACATAACTTTAGACTCATCTAATAATTTTACGTTTAGTACCACACAAGTACCAAAAAAAAAAATTTAATTACAATTTGTTTATTGTTTTTTTTTTTGCACAAAATAAATAGTCACTGCTTATTTATTTTTTTTAATGTATTTATTGATGGATATATGTCTTAAAATCATTGCAGGCTATAAAAACCATTTCAAATAGAGGACGCAAAGTTCATGACCTACCTGGCACACCTGTTGCTAAGCGTACGAGAAATGCTCTTGGTTTAATGCCAATTGATAAGCGATTTTGTTGCAGAGGAACGGTAATGGAGAATTTCCTCAATTATGCTACTATTTGTAAAACTGAAGAGAAGTCCATAAGTGATTAACATCATATCGTATATTTAATTGATATGATATGATATGAGTAATCGATACAATCGCTTTACTTTAAATTTAACATGCTGATTTTGATAATAATTCATTTTCCATAAGTGAAGAAAAAATTTCCTTTTATATGACTAACAAAAAGAGTTTCAAAATAGGAAAATGGAAAAACTGCACCAATGAATGCTATGAAAGAGCGTCGAAAACGACAAATTAAAATGACAAAGAAGGCCGAAAAAAAAGTGATAAATTATTTCTTGTCACAATTCAGCGAAACAACAACAATAGTAATAATAATAAATAGATAACATTAATAAATGAAACAAAGTTTCCTTTAGCAAGTTCAATTATATAATATAAACAAAATTCTTATATCATAAATTTCACTTACTTAAATTATTCTGCACTATATGTTCAATTAAATTTGATTAATTAAATGTTTCTAAAATACTAATCATCTATTCATCTAAATACTTTTCTAAATTAGGAAAATTCTGATACAAAGAAGTTAATTGACAATTTCCATTAATTATGTTAGTTTTGAACATTTTGAAATAAATTCTGAAAAATCCAAGGTATTTAAATTTATCTTAAATTTCAAAAAAAATATATTACACCTTAGAACATATCAGCAAAAAAGCTTAAAATTTACTTCGCTTTTTTGATTGTTTGTAAAACAACTTAGGAGTTAAATTTTTTTTTAGTTATAAAAATTGACAAAATATCTAATATCCATAACAACTACATTTCATCACTTAAAATTAGTAATGTAATTTCAGGAAGCATTCCATGATGATAACAGCAATCATTTATCTACTACACTTCATAATGATAACGAGGATTACTTATCTGCCACTTTTCATGAGAAGCATTTATCAACAACTAGTGCTAATCAAACTGTTTGTATCAAATCCAGTCCGGAAATAGCAATATTATCCGAACTTGAAACTGCTATTTCCAAAAAATCCAATACGGAAGGAATATTTCCGTCCAAATTTAACTGCAACACACCAAGAATGAATAATTCATCAGACACATTAACTGCGATTTCCAGTCCTGATAAACATACGAAACAGAGACATACAGGTATTTCGCGTATAGACGCATCAAAATCACATGATACGTTACGAGTTCACACGTCAAAAAATTCAACAAGTCAAAAAGATGTTGTTGATACTGATGCTAATAATTCATTATCAAAAAGATCAACATCATTAAATACGGCATCAGTTTTGGAACGTACACGTCCTGATGATAAAAGTGTTGATATCACTCAACGATCAACAAATGCGATTCATCGAGATAAAATTGATAGCGATGATAACACAATACATAATGATATTACAAAACGATCAACATACTTCATTCATGATTTAAAATGTGAACAAAATATTATCAGCAGCGATGATAATAATGACAGTAATAGTCGTAATAATGATGATTTGCGTGTAATGTCAATGGATCTAAAATCATCATCATGTCAGTCAAAATCGACAACAATGCATGCAGATGATGATGATAATGATGATGATGATAAAGTAAAACGTATTGAAGAGAAGCGTGGAAAAGTGACAAGCACACGATTTCCAGGACGAAAAACGTTAGATGAGTTGGAAAGACAAGAGTTATGTTGAATTAATAATTAATTTGTTGAATCAATATAATAGCGTAAATTTTGTTGCAAAACTCTATTATTATTATTATTTATTATTATTATTATTATTATTATTATTATTAGTGTAAGTTAAATGCTGTTTTACTTTACAATGCACAAATTTGTGAAAATTTTTCTTTTTTTATTTACTTCTTTAACTTTAAATTCTTTTTATTTATTTTTATATTAGAGAATCGATACTAACGACAAATGAATCATCTAATGGTATAACGAAAAAATCTAAAACTGCGTAAGTAAATCAATCATTTCTACCAATGTTTAATTTAGTAACATTAATAAAAATAACATAAGTTTGAAAAATAAAATAAAATTTCTAAATAATTTTTAAATGAAAAATTTTATTTTTTCAGTGTGTAGTATGAAAATTTTGCAAAGAATGTAAATACTTTCTAGAATATGTCACTCAGCACAAATTAAGAGAAAAAATGATTTGGAAAATGTTGAAATTTACAATTTATCATCTGGTGATCCAACTGATTACACTGAAAAGCCAAGCCGAAAAATCCCATTTTGGGCTAAAAGTTACTTTTACAGAATAAAATAGATTTTAAAAAAAGAAATGAAACAAAAAAATTAATTTTTTTTTGACAAATGCAATAGGGATTTAATCACTAAGAATTTTAATAGTATTCAGAAACGATACAGAAGAGTAAGTTTAAAAAAAATCTAAAATGTAATAATTTTGAATGTAATAATTTTGAAATGATTTGATAAATAACACTTAATTATTTTATATTACATTGCTCTTTTAATTTGAACACCTCATTTAATAAATATGCCTAATAATTTTTTATTACACTACTTTTTTAATCTATTCCAAATTTTTTAAATCATCAGTTTTTTTTATTTTTTATTGCAGAACAAAATTTACAACAAATTCTTATCAAACAACAAAAATGGTCCATCCATGATATTGATGCTCTATTTGGTAAAATTCATCCGCCTGATATGCAAAAAATGTTTGGTGATAAGATGCTATCAGCAACGCGTAGCTCATCAGCAATCTGGGAGTCACCAATTTGGAATCCACGTGTCGGTTATAGCGCTTATCATATGACATTTCAACAAATTGAAAACGACAATAACATTCGACGATCACAAAGAGCAAAAAAACTTGTCTCTTATGTCACATATTTCTGATTATTGACTCTGTGAGACAATACAAATAATATATGGTAAATAAACTTACTGATATGATAAGAATTTACAAGATGAATTGCACTTGATAATAAAATTATTCCATGGTTTTTCTTTCCTTTTTTTAGATAAGGCAATGAGACAATTTTGGTAACTTGTTAAATGATGTCATTATTCGATTTAACATATATAATGATACAATCTTTTTTGATTTTTAATAAAAAACAGAGATGTAAAAATTATATATTACAGTATAGTTTGCATACTTTTATTATAATTGTCACTGCTATTATTATTTTTATTATTGATTGTTTGCTGTTAACTCGCACATATATGTGAATAGTACAAATTAGAATAATAATTAGTTCTGAAAATATTTGACAACGAAGGAAGAAACCCTACAATATATCATTTCGTTTTCATAAAAAAAAGAAATGCTAATATAAGGTTAAAATTTCATTTTATTTTACATTTAGACTATAAAATCTTATATTACCAACTCTGAAATAAATATAAAAGTATAATTTTGCATATAAACTATATTTTCTATTTCTTTAGCAACCTTCTTGAAATTAATTCATAAACATTTTTATTGTAAAATTTACACAAATTTTTTTATTGAGAAATCTTTTCATCTAATAATTTTGCCTCCCATAAAATTTTCTTTTAAAAAAATTGAAATTTCTTTTTTTCTTTCCCTTTTTGATTATATGTGCTTTTATTATTTTTGCTACTATTTAATACTAGTATTTCACTGCACATTGAACACAATAAAACGTAAATTATCGAAAAAAATGCAAAAAAAAGGAGAAATTTAATATAGTAATTAAATTAATATTTCACTAATTAAATATTATGTTTGTATATTTTAGCTTAACATTTATTATGAATAAAAAAACACTTCGAAAATTGCATATTTGTTTTTTCACTCTTTTAAACAATATAAAACATATCAATAAAAAGATAAGAAAGCGACAGAGAGAAAGAGAGAGAGGGAAACCAATTAGCAGAAAAGAAAGGCAAAAGAGAAAATTTGGTAAAATTATACAATTTACCTTTCAACATAAATACATATTTGCATTATATGAAACAAATCAAAACGAAAAAAACAAGTTCAAAAAAAAAAAATAAAAAATAAAAAAGCACTGAATATTACATTAATTTCATAATTTATTCATTAATTATAAAATTCAAGCATTTTTTAAAATTTATTACAACTAAAGTAAATATAAATTTAACTTACTGCTAAAATAATCACATATTATTCAATTGAAAAAAGAAAGAATATTGCAAATGCAATTCAATAATGACATAAAAATAAAAACCTATTGATAATTAAAGTTTATGATACTATTTAAACAAGCATATCTGTCATAACTCTGTTAATTAGCTTAATTTTTTAAAACTATTTAGCATTAACTAATCGATATACTTTTTACTAATCTCAATTTCTAATCAAAAAGAGATAAATAATATTTATTAGCAAATTAAAATTGTAAGATTTGGAAAAATTTTTTAAATTTTGATTTGATATTACAAATATTGCATCCTTAACCTTAAAAAAATTGTTTATATAAAAATTTTTTCCCAAAATTTCAAAAGCGAAAAAAGCACTGAACTCGCTAATTTGTTACAAATGAAAAATCAAATTGAACTATTTTGGAAATGTTAAGATCAGCATACTTTGAGTGATTGAAAAAATTGTAAAATGACAAAAAAAAAAAAACAAAATTACATTTTTTGATGCTTAAAATATTTAATTAATGAGCAGAGAAGTTTAAACAAAAGAAAAATAAAAATTGGTACAATGAATGAGTATCAAATATAATTTGCCCGAATTTATAGTTTGTCACAAATTATACAAAACTTATAATTATAAAATATAATAAAAAAGAACCGTAAAATACAAATATTTCGAATATTCGTCTATAATAAAATTATTTCAACAACATTTAAAAATACTACTTACTAATTAATTAAATATGCACCAATTTTAATTTATCGCAATTTAGATATAATTCATTCATTTCACTTAAATGTAATACATATTGAGTATGTACAATGAAAAATGAAGCTAATTAAATAAATCAAATGTTATTTTATTATTTTGTTTATTTTATTGTAATACTATTCATTTGTAGTTATTATAAAAAAAGGAATTTTAAAAATGAATAAATAATTGAATTATTATTGAATAATTAACTTGTGATTAGAGTAAAATTAATGATGACAGTTATACAGTCCTTCTCTTTGAGTATAATTAATGAAACATTTAACTAAACAAATAGTCATTTATGATAACATTATAAGATGAATGTATTAATTAAGGTCTCTGAAACTTTCATCTTTCAAAAGTGAAAGTTTCATCTGAAATTTGTTTATAAAAAAAAGAAAGAGAAAAGAAAAAAGGTAAGTAATAATTTATTAATAATCTTCAAAACTCAAAAATTTATTCGAATAATTTCAAAGTGAATTTAAGCGATTTTTGAAAACTATCATGGAAAAACTACAAAATTACAAAAGAGTCAACGATAATCTAATCATTATTGTTGCTTTAGTTTCATTTTTCATCGTTTTCGATGTATAATTTTAATTTTAAAGCATATGAATTATTTATTGTTCACTATTTATTCTTCTATGATTATTCGTTTTTTATTTTTTGAAATTATAAATTTACATTTAAAAATTTTTCTTTTTTCATTAATTTTTAAGCTTAATTCATTTCAATGATGGATTAATTAATTTTATTACTATTAATCATTATGAAATAAAAAAAAAGGATCATATACAATTTAAGTAAGCTTTAATTAAAAATCAAAAAGACGATTAACTTAAATTTTTTGTTTCACTTAAATTATGTCTCAAATTAATTATCAAAATCGTTTATGAAGAAAAAAAAAGAAAATAATTGAAATGGGTTTAAGTTGTAAACTTTCAAAACACATATTTGCACTTACTATATGCTACTTATACCATTATATTAAATAAAATTAAAAAATAAAAAAAATTTAATTAATTAAGAAAACGACAGAAATAAATGCACACAAAAAAAATTGTTAAAAATTAAAAAAAAAGCATTTCGGCACTTTACATCATATAAAATAATCTAAAAGCAGAAAAAAAAGAAAACAACAAAAAAAGGTAATTTAACCTTTAACAATGTTAAATTTCTTAATTTTATAATTAATTTTCATTTTTGTTTATTATCCCTGCATCATTTGTTTCATTCTTTATTTTTTTTTTCTTTTCTTTTCTTCGCTTTTTTCTCTTTTTTTAAATTTTTTTTTTTTTTGCCACACTTATAATTTAAAATTTAAATTTTATCTAATTTATTCGCGCCATTTTGTTAAATCAATTTGTGAAATTGCTGAGCATTGCGTCAAACGTCCTTGTGGTATTAAAAATGCATCCTGTGAAACGCTACCAAATTGATCACCGTTATTGCAAATAATACTAGCTAATGTGACCTTTCGAAGTTCGGCTAATTGAGCTGAAGTAAAAATGCCGGGATTCTCGTAATAAAACCTATAAAATTTATCCAAACAATAAAATTGATTATTAAAAAATAATAAGAAAAAAATCAAAAATATTAAGGAAAAAAAAACAGAAAAATAATGCAAGAATTGTATTTTTGCTTTGAAATAATTAAATTTTAAACGAAAAAAAAAAAAAAAAAGAAAATATTCGAAAGCAATTGGCTTTGATTTATGACAAATAAAACATTTTCGACAACGTTATTATAACAAAGAGTGCGGAGGAGGCCAAGAAGTTCGGTGAAAAAACATTGAAAAAAACTAAGGAAAGCCTAAATAACTAAACAAAAGAGAGAGAGAGAAAAAAAAATGAAGATAATTCGATAGCTCTGCTAAAATTAAATATACATATTTTTAATTATGCAATTATTAAAAAGAAAAAAAATTTTAAATATTTAAAATTTTTCAAACTTAGTTTCTCGTTTTTAAAAGATAAAACAAAAAAAAAGAAGGATAAAATGCTAAAGATGGAAGAGAAGAAATAAAAAGGAAAAATAAAAAGAATTATGAATGTAATAAAATTTTGAAATAAAAATAAACAAAAATTTGAATTAAAGTTGAATAACTTAAATTTCAATTCCTTCTTTTTTTTGCCAAATATATAAAGAAGTTAAAATTTAAATTACCTGTCACCATCACGTAATCTTTTAAATTGATCACCAATTAGACAAGCTAATGTTGTACCAACTAAGCCACCAATAACTGGATCTTCAACCATTGAACCAATATACAAATCAATATCATCTATGGTATATTACTATTATTTTTAACTCTTTCCTTTTTTTTAGAATTAATTTTTAATAATTTCAAAAAAAGATAGATGAAATGCCATTATAAAAATTAGATGACAGAGATGAAATAGAGAAGAAGTAATAAGTAAAAATAAAAAAAGTTAAGAATATAATGAAATTTTGAAATAACATAAAACTAAATCAGGAAAAAGTAAAATTTAAATAAAATAACTAAAACGATATCAAAGATTTCACATAAGAAATCTTTAAAAATTTAGTAATTTTATATGATCTAATTTTATTGAAAATTTAGATTATGAGCCAAAACTTTTATTAAACAAATAGTAAGAGCTAAATTTTCTCGAATTTTAATGTAAAATGAACATAAATTAATTGAGTTACAGAAAATTTAAAAAAAATATTTAAATCAAAATTTTCGTGCATTTATGAAAGGTATGTAATATCAAAAAAGTAATTACTATTAATAAGTAATCAATAAGTTGAAAAGGATAGAAGAAGAAGTAGAGAGGGAGAAAGGGAGAAAGAGAAAGAAAAAAGAAAAAACATGAAACTTACCAACTGTTTTATAAGTTTTTGATAAACCAAGACGTATATTTTTATCTAAAATTTCATTTTTTAAATCATCAAAATTATTCGCTAATGGCATTCCACAAAAATGTCGCCATTTATTAAAGGATGGTAATCCATGATCACGTCCACGTTGAATATTGACAGATCC